AAGGTATTGTTTAAGGCCGGCCCAAGCCATTTTGCTGCCTGAGGCGAAGGACAAAGTGGTGTTCTCCCCTTTTCACATACAGAAGCTGATTAGATTGGTTGTCAAATGGCAGTAGTGGCGGCCACCGAATAGGGTCTTTCACTGCATCTGAGGGCAGCACACTAGGTATGGGGGTGCAGGACTGACTACATAGCTCACCCGGCTCTGCCTTCAGCAGAATGAATATCCCCTCCCTCCAACATTTGCCACCTGAGGTGGTTCCTTCACTCTACCAAATGGTAGGGCCATACCTGCAGAGCATCCCATCTAAACTCCGTGTGAATCAGTGACAGCATTTGTCTAGCTTTTAAGACTTCTCAGTATCTTGTGAAAGTCTGTCATGCAAAAAGAAGTTTCCATACCATTTCTGACCAACTTTGACGTAACCATCATATGCATAATATATATTACAAATTCCACTAGTATTATCACATAGAGTCGTACCTTGGTTGTTGAACGGAATCTGTTCTGGAAGTTTGTTTGACTTCCGAAAACATTCAACAACCAAGGCACGGCTTCCGATTGGCTGCAGGACCTTCCTGCACTCAGTTGGAAGCTGCGGAAGCCGCGTCAGATGTTTGGCTTCCAAAGAACATTTGCAAACCGGAACATGCACTTCTGTTTGGGAGCCAAAACGTTCAAGTTGCAAGGCATTCAGGATCCAAGGTACAACTGTATTACTTACCTTAAATCTTCACCTAAGTTAACACCTTGCGTCGAAGCAAGATATTACAAAAACACTGATGAAACCACTCAGTAATTAAAAGCACTTAGCCACTGTTAACAAACTTTTTCCTGTTGATGAAGTTGTTTTCCCTGCGTTTCCTCCAGCTGGGTTCCTATACCATGCAGACAGCAACTAAGTGTTCTAATCAGATCTCTTTCCTCTTCCTGAGATATTTGTATATTAATTGCAATTCCCTGTGGAATGGAGAAATTCAAATGAGTGCTGCGGATTGGCTATGACTAAAGGTTTAATTAAGTCTTTTGATACCACAGGGGAAATGCTTGGGACTGGGCCTGCATCACGCCTGATTCCTGTTGTCAGTCTTCTCAGTTTGCCAAGTAGCATTTCACAACCAAAGGCAACGGTACTTAGGTGTCTTCATGTTTGCATTATTAAGGGAACCAATTATGTGTCATTCATCCTCACTGTGCATGAGATTGCTGCGATCAGAAATGGGCCATGATTTGAAGCAATTTAAAAGCATGTTTGGAAAAAAGGAAAGTACTATCATGGCAGCAAACAAGGAACACCCAACTCGTATGTCTGCCACTGATAATGAGCTTAGAAATGCATTTGTTTTCTTTCTAGTGCCTGATTTGTATTTCCCTTGAAATGTTATTATTTTTATTGAATCTATGAATCATGTCCCTTGAGGCATCCCAAACATGATAAAAAGACATAAAACAGTTACATACATGTATAAAAGCAGTTAAAGCAATTTATAAATGCAATTGCACATAGAGCTCTCCAGGCTGGTGTTTTATTGCAGGTGCATTCTGTGACATTATAAGTGTGCTAATGGTAGATTGATTCTGCTTCAGTTTGCTCTGCGATGTTTTCCCAGTGCTACCAGATTAACGCAGCCCAGAGGGGTTCTAACGCAACAAAAGCAGGACAAGAACAAACTAGGACATTGGCAGTATAAAAAGTTGTGGAGTTTTAGCTAGAAGCTATGGGGTATGCACTGAGTGGAAGCTAAACATTTGCAGTATTGAAGCTGGGACTGCATGTGACCACCCTGAAAGCATTAAGAGCACAAATCATCATCACTGTGGAAAAACAAAAAAGAATGTCTGAAGGGACTCCTTATTTCGTAAATGCAATTGTATACAGAAACAGTCGTCCTAGTTTCTGATTTGATCCTGGAATGTCCCGCTTTTCCTTAGGACATCCCTATCTTAATCAGAGAAATGCTGTAGGGTATGGAATCATGCGACACACACACCCAGCCAAGGAGAAAAGTAACTATGCAACGTTTAGAAAACATTTGAAGGCAGCCCTGAATATGGAGGGTTTTTTTAAAAAAAATAATGTTTTATAATGTTTTTATATATGTTGGAACACACCCAGAGTGGCTAGGGCAATCCAGTCAATTGGGCAGGGTATAAATAATAAAATGATGATGATGATGATGATGGAATATGACATCCCTATTTTCATCAGAGAAATGTTGGAGAGTATTGGATAGATGGGGAGGGGGAGAGAGAGAGAGAGAGATCCAAAGCACACACATAAACCAAACTCAGTACAGATTCCAACTGGGAAGTCTTGTTGAAAGAGGAGCATCTTTAACTGGTGCCAAAGACAATATAGTTGCCTCTTGGATATATTATAGGGGGGAGTTCCAGTGAAGGTGCCAACACACAAACAGCAGCAGAGGAAACCTCTCGGGCACCTGGGGTGGCGTGTCCAGGGGTGGGGCGAACCACTCATAGGGACTGGGCGCACAGCACCCATAGGAACGGGACGGGGGTGTGGCGCACATAGGGACGGGGGGTGCCATGGGGCCTCAGCCTCCCTACAGGGTAGAGCCTGCAGGCACCCGAGGCGCGTGACTCAGGTGCGCTGCAGGCCCCACAATGAGTGCCACCCGCCATTTTGTCACCATCCCCCTCAGTGGGGGACACTCGGGGCGGGCCACACCCACCCCACCCTCACCCTTGATACGCCCCTGCACAAAAGACCCAATTCTAACAGTGGAACTTATCTCCTGACCGGATAGTTATCTGGAGGATGCCCTCTCCTGCAGAACAGGGGGATTGTGGTTTAATGTATTAAAGTTCCCATTCTGGAGAAACTGTCGCCTAACTCACATGATAATGTCAGATGTTTTTACATTAAGATACAGTGGTACTTCGGGTTACATACACTTCATGTTACATACGCTTCAGGTTACAGACTCCGCTAACCCAGAAATATTACCTCGGGTTAGAACTTTGCTTCAGGATGAGAACAGAAATCGTGCAACAGTGGTGTGGTGGCAGCGGGAGGCCCCTTAGCTAAAGTGGTGCTTCAGGTTAAGAACAGTTTCAGGTTAAGAACGGACCTCTGAGGTACCACTGTACTAATATCCTGATTCTGCAGGGATAACCCCCTTGTAAATGTCCAGAGTTGCAGGGCTTTATTTATTGAGGAAGCTCTTTGGAACAACTAAACAGGGCAAATTGGCTTCCCATTACTTTTCACATGCTTTAAGCTCTCATCAAAAATTCAAAATCTGGTCCAATTATCATGTGTGGGTGAGCATGTTAGCCCCACTCCCGTCTGGGCATTGCATCCCATGTATAGATGGAGGTTCTACAGGTGCAGCTATTCCTATTTCTAATAAGTCGTCATTTTAAAACACCTCCATTATTAAGCGGAGAGTGTTTGTAACAGAGTGGTTTTTATTTTACTTTTAAATGTAAGCACATCCCCCACTTAGGCTAGTACAGTGGGATTAACAGGAAATCAATAGGGCTTAGACATTTACTTACATTCCTTGCCAAACCACTATGCATGTTTTCTAATGTGCCAGCGCCCAAGAGAGGAAAGCAGGCCGATGAATTGTTGACAGATTAACTGCCCACTTTACAGCTAAATATTCTCCAAGCTGTTTAGCAAGAGAGCTCATCAACTATTAAATGGAAGAGCGGCAAACAAAGAGCTTTGAAAGGTATCATGGGATTGCTTTTTATGATGTTTAACCAAAACCAAGTTACACTGAACGAAGATAAATATCCATATCTATTGCAGACATAATAGTGCAGTGTATCAATTCCTAAATCTCGGGCCAATAAACAGCTCTTAAGAGCATGAGAGCAAGCTAAGAGATAGTTAGATGATCACTAGCTAGCTAGATATCTGGAAGCAATTGCTATAATTTAAAGAGAAATATCTCTCTCCATAATAGGAAAGACTGTGACCAAGTGATCTGCTCACTCCATATGTTAACTTTGATGGGCAGGCTGAAGGCTCAAGCTCTCATATGTGGTGGACTCGTAAAAGGGTAAAAGAGTATTGGGAAATGATCCATAATAAATTGGAAAAAATGTTTAAAAGTACTAACCCCCCCCCCAAAAAAAAAACTACCTAGAGTCCTTTCTGTTGGGGATAATTCAGACTGAAATTCCCAGTTGTCAAAAAAGGTTACAGTGGTACCTTGCGTTAAGAACTTAATTTGTTCTGGAGGTCCGTTCTTAACCTGAAACTGTTCTTAACCTGAGGTACCACTTTAGCTAATAGGGCCTCCCGCTGCCGCCGTGCCGCCGCCATGCGATTTCTGTTCTCATCCTGAAGCAAAGTTCTTAACCCGAGGTACTATTTCTGGGTTAGCGGAGTCTGTAACCTGAAGCGTCTGTAACCTGAAGCGTCTGTAACCTGAGGTACGACTGTATGTATGCTACAACTGTGGCCGGTGTTTTGCTAGCCCAAAAATGGAAAATGAGTGAGGTCCCAACCAAAGAAGAATGGCAACTTAAGTTGACAGAATATGCACAACTTGCAGACCTAACATATGGAATAAGAGAACAAGAAGAACATACGTTTAGAGAGGATTGGAAAACGTTTATTGAATATATGGGAAATAATTGTATACAGCTGAAAATGCTGGCAGCATTAAGATAAATTTAACAGTGTAAGAAAGTTTTGATGGATGCAATAATGGAATACTGAATGGTATGGTTTCTGTAAAATATGCAGTGATTTATGATATGTAAAATGAACCATGGAAAGAGAAGAAGGGAAGTCATTGATAGTTTAAGGATGTAAAAATGAGTACTTTAAATTGTGAAACAGAAAATTTTATATATATTGGTTACAATCATAGGAGCCAACTCCTGGGGGCCAAGGTTGCTTCAGCCCCCCAATAAAATATTTGAAGGGGCCAGCCCCCCCAATGTTTTTAATGGGCATTGCCATTCAACTGGTGTGTGTGCATTGCTTCTTGTGATCAGTTATGTGGGTCAGGGCTTACCTCCACGATATTTTATTCAAGTTGGCACCCCGGTGACAATTCTCCCCAAATCTGCCGATAACAGCTCCCAGCAGTTTCAGAACCCAACAGAACAACTCCCATGGCACCAAACTGTGGCTGCAATGATAAGAGCACAAAGAGAGTTAGACTGAGTTCTTCTGATCCCTGGCTGATAAATGAAACTTTTGATGTCCTCCATACTTGATCTCTGTCATTGCTATGAAATAATCTGCCTGGCTGAGCAGCTGGAGCAGGTCGCCAAGCCACATAAGACAGATGGGAGTGAGCGGGAATGGATCAAGGGTTAGCTGGCAGGAGAGAAAACGGTTGATGAGAGCAGCAACGAAGAGAGTGACACACCACACTTAAAGTCCTCGGGTGTCTAGAACAATTTTGGGTTTCGGGGACAGCCTTACACTGCACATACCACTCCCACTAGAGGCTGTCATATGGCAGACACACCAACTGCCTTATGCAATATGTTCAATTGGTATGAGAGTCACGTTTTAGATGGATCTGGTTCCATCTGCCATCCGTTCTCCTTCCCACCTACCTGCTCATACTACAAGGTCACCTACTATGACATCAGTGCTGGTTTTTTATTATTATTAATTAAAAAGAATATGACACAAAATGCATTTTTTAAAAATCCTTGAACATTTTTGAAAAGCCAAAGCTTCCCTCTTTATGTTACCATAGATACAGTCACAGTCTTTTAATAATCTGAATAGAGGCTCGCAAAAGTGCTGCGCTGTGTTGACGTCTCTGGCGCTCACCACTTCCCTTCTTCCATCTACACCGGGAGCTTCTTCATTTGCTCGAGGTTTGGAAAGTGAGGATACAGGAGCTACCGACACATCACGCAGGACCTGGCCATTGACTAAACATATTTGACAGCATTGGTGAAATTAAAAACCTATTTGCAGTCACACTGTCCATGCATAGGCTACGTTGTGTGATCGTTGAGGCTGACTACCCAGTTCCTCTGTAACAGGCATCATGTATTAACAAGAACCTGACTAACCTTGTCGCAAGGCCGATAGTTATTGGCTTGTGCTTAGATGAAGGCAGGCTTTTTCATGGATTGTACTGGGTCTGTGGAATGCCAAAGGGACGCAGGTAGCGCTGGGTCTAAACCACTGAGACTCTTGGGCTTGCCGATTGGAAGGTTGGCGGTTCGAATCCGTGCAATGGAGTGAGCTCCCATTGCTCTGTCCCAGCTCCTGCCAACCTAGCAGTTTGAAAGCAATGCCAGTTCAAGTAGATAAATAGATACCACCATGGTGGGAAGGTAAACAGCATTTCCATGTGCTCTGGTTTCCGTCACAGTGTTCCGTTGTGCCAGAAGCAGTTTAGTCATGCTGTCCACATGACTTGGAAAGCTGTCTGGACAAACGCTGGCTCCCTTGGCCTGAAAGCGAGATGAGTGCCGCAACCCCATAGTGCCTTTGACTAGACTTTACCGTCCAGGGGTCCTTTACCTTTAACCCTTTTTGTGGAATGCCTTCCCAGCTGAAATTCAAGCAGCTGCACCTGCAATGGCATTCCATGTCTGGCTCTTGAAGAGTGACAAGGGTTAAGGGCTACCTTAGAGAGAGCACTCTGCATTTTCTTTTATCTTTCTCTGTTTTTGTATTTATTTAAATTAGTTTCTTTTATCTTCTTGTATTCTATGTTTACAAAGCTTTAATAAAATCACATATTTTTTTAGATACCTCTCCTTACATAAGCATTTTCCAGATCCCTTAAACTAAATTTGGATTTCCTTTTATATAAAAAAAAAAGTTATTAATTTTATGACTCTGTTTTATCGTATATTTCAGTCATGCTTTTTAAGTTGATTTTGTTTCTTTCGGCTTATTTTTCTTATTATTCATTTCATTTCTGTACCGCTTTGCATTTTTAAGGGGGGAAAACCTCAAAGCGGTTTACAACCTACATCAAAACATCAAAAGAAAGCAATCCAGAATAAAACGTTACCGAAGAAAGTCAAATATAAGTTATACATGCAAAGCAACATAAATAACGGGAAACGAAAATATTATCTTAAAGATTTCAAAATAAAACATTACAAAGGAGGTAAGCTACGGAACACACAGCAAAGTTAACCAAAACAATTATCTGGACCATTTCAAAAGAAAACATTACTAAAGGAAGTCTGGTATAAAATGCACATTAAAACAGCATAATTTGCAAGGGAATAAAATATTACCATAAGCATAGAATGTGTCTGCTGCCGTTGCTGCCATTCCTGCCTATGGTGGTTCATGGTGGGTGACTGCAATGGAAGCTGAGGCTCAGTGACCTGGGTCTGCACTGAGAGACAGCCAAGATTATCCCTGGTCTCTTCAGCAGCCTCAGCTTTTGTAGCTGGAGTCAGTCAGGGCCCCACCCTCCCAGGCCAGATGGGGAAAGGCCTGCAAAGCAGGGAGCAGGTCTTCCAGGACTCACAGTGAAGCATAGGTGGGTTCAGGCATGAGCCAAGGAACATCAGGAACAAGAATGACAAACACGGGCACTTGGCCCAGTATATATACCTTAAGGCGGCCCAGGAATCACACCTCCCCACCTGTGATAGGTCACCTTATGCTGTGACTGGCGAATCATAACACTGGCACTAACTCAGCAGGGATTGACTGTCTGCCAGCTACCGGCAAATGTCATTGGAGGGTTTTAGAATCCTCTCTGTCTTTTGTTATGTGGATGAAGCTCCTGAGCACCAGGAGGCATTAAGGTCTAGAGGCCTGCAATGTTATGCATACATAGCACACAGCCAAGATGATTTTATCTTTCATAAAGTGCTTAGAAGCCAGTTCAGGCATAAAGCTGCGTTAGTTTCTACCAATAAATCATCTTACTTACTTACTTATACATAAAAGGTAAAGGGACCCCTGACCATTAGGTCCAGTCGCAGACGACTCTGGGGTTGCGGCGCTCATCTCGCTTTACTGGCCGAGGGAGCCGGCGTACAGCTTCCGAGTCATGTGGCCAGCATGACTAAACCGCTTCTGGCGAACCAGAGCTGCGCACGGAAACGCCATTTACCTTCCCACCGGAGCAGTACCTATTTATCTACTTGCACTTTGACGTGCTTTCGAACTGCTAGGTTGGCAGGAGCAGGGACCGAGCAATGGGAGCTCACCCCGTTGCGGGGATTCAAACCGCCGACCTTCTGATCGGCAAGCCCTAGGTTCTGTGGTTTTACCCACAGCACCACTCACGTCCCTTATACATACGCCACCTTTTTCCCTGGCAGGACCCAAGGACTCATAACATTCTCACCAAAGTGGGTTCCTTTGGGAGGAAGGGTAGGGTCTAAATCTAATAAATAAATAATTATAAACAGATGACCATCCAAAAGAAGGATAGCCATAGTTTTGTTAGTCCTGGATCTTGCAAAATTGTCTCAATGGTTTGCACAAGCCAGGTGCTATGTGTCCATTTCTACCCTTCCTGGGTGCTGGCCAACCCTTGTCAGAGTAGAGCTACTGAAATCAATGAATTTAAGTGACTTCAATCTGTTAATTTCAATGGGTTTACTCTGAGTACAGTGGTACCTCGGGTTAACAACTTAATTTGTTCTGGAGGTCTGTTCTTAACTTGAAACTGTTCTTAACCTGAAGCACCACTTTAGCTAATGGGGCCCCCCGCTGCCGCTGCACCGCCGCTGCATAATTTCTATTCTCATCCTGAAGCAAAGTTCTTAACCCGAGGTAATATTTCTGGGTTAGCGGAGTCTGTAACCTGAAGCGTATGTAACCTGAAGCATATGTAACCCAAGGTACCACTGTATAACTTAGTTGAACACCCTTTGAATGCATAGTAATTATTGTTATTATTGCTCTATTTTTGCATACACAGGCGTTTTTATCTTTCTGTGTTAGGGACACATCACAGCAGAGGGCCAGATATGTGGGAATATGTTACTATCTCTTCTACAGTTATAAAAACCATCCTCTCCACGCTTATTTCAGAATCTGATGCACTGCTTTCATCTTCAAGAGGTCGATTCACCTCTGTCATTTCTCATGTAAGGCTTTGAGAACGTCAGGCAGCAGGATGACAGTCAGACTGAATTACAAAATGATATTTCACTACAACACATTCTTTTTGCAGATATAGATATAGATATCTTGAGATTGCCCCTTGAATAAAAGGTTGAACAGTGGATGTGTGGTTCTGCTTCAATGGTACCATGTCAGGCTTCACCTGCATAAATGCACTTGCTCCACCAAATCCAAACAGAAGGAAATCAAGCTTAATTCTATATCATCAAATCTGCTGGGCTAACATTTCTTTCTATCTTGTCCTAATTTTTTATATAAATTTAGAAAGGCAAATAATATTACAACACTCCATGAAGTAACTACACAAGGTTAGAGGAAAGGGTCATAGAAGCCAACTCTTAGGGGCTGAGGGGATCTTTGTCCCCCCTAAGATATTTGAGGGGGCCGGGGGCCCTCAAAGTTGATGGGCATTGCCATTCAAATAGTGTCATGTACCGTATTTTTTGCTCTATAAGGCTCACTTTTTCCCTCCTAAAAAGTAAGGGGAAATGTGTGTGCGTCTTATGAAGCGAATGCAGGCTGCACAGCTATCACAGAAGCCAGAACATCAAGAGGGATTGCTGCTTTCACTGCGCAGCGATCCCTCTTGCTGTTCTGGCTTCTGAGATTCAGAATATATTTTTTCTTGTTTTCCTCCTCCAAAAACTAGGTGCGTCTTGTGGTCTGGTGCGTCTTATAGAGTGAAAAATACGGTAATCAGTTCTGCAGGGTGGGACTTACCTGAGCTCCCCAATATTTTATTCAAGTTGGCACCCCTGGAAAGAACCATCAGTACTTTGCGTGAGTAAAGTCCTATGCTCAATCCCCAAAGCCAGAGTTAGGGAAAGACTTGATTATATCTAAGTTTACTTCTATAAATATAAATTAGCCCATGCAAATTTCATACAGATCTGTGATCTCTTTTTTGGATATGTGTTTCCTCTCCCATCCATCCCCTCACTCCTTCAAAGTGTTGATGGCTGCCCCAACCCATATTCTAACCAAGGGGTAAATGCCCACTCTTTTCTGAGAGTCATCCATTCCTGCTTTGAAAACCCAGATTTACACAGCCATTTGGAAGGAGACTTCAAAACATTTCTCATCAGAAGGAATGCAGGTGGTCAAGTCCCCAGCCAGCTTTTGTTTAATTGGCTAGTTTGCTTTGAGTACAATCAGTACCATCAGATTTTATAAGGACACAGGGCTTCTCTGGTACTCTCATTAAAGCCCTGTCTGTTGGCACTCGATCTCCATATGAGGGAATCGACCACAGCTATCTCCCATCTTAATCAGAATGTACAAAAAGGACTCTATGACTTGGTTTCTACTGAGCCATGAAATCTATTTCAGTATAGTAATGTAAAAGGTAAAGTAAAGGTAAAGGACCCCTGGAAGGTTAAGTCCAGTCAAAGGCGACTATGGGGTTGTGGCGCCCATCTTACTTCAGGACGAGGGAGCCGGTGTTTGTCCACAGACAGCTTTCTGGGTCATGTGGCCAGAATGACTAAACCACTTCTGGTGCAACGAAACACCACAACGGAAACCAGAGCGCATGGAAATGCCGTTTACCTTCCCGCCGGAGCAGTACCTATTTATCTACTTGCACTGGCATGCTTTCGAACTGCTAGGTTGGCAGGAGCTGGGACAGAGTGACAGGAGCTCACCCCGTCGCAGGGATTCGAACCGCCGACCTTCTGATTGGCAAGCCCAAGAGGCTCAGTGGTTTAGACCACAGCGCCACCCACATCCCTAATATTAATGTACCTCCGGCACTAAATCATATTTTCTATTCAATGCTTATTTCTCTAAACTAGGTGTGCTGATACTATTGTAGGTTTGTGGGGGAAAGGGGTCAGGCAGAATTGTGTCTGTAGATCCTTTCCAGACCTGTGGCCATGCATCATTTGAGGTCCTAATCAAAAGCAGAAATCTTTTTTCTCTTTTTTTGTAGTGTTTAAATTGTTGGAAAAGTAATAAATATTATTTTCCAAAAAAAACAAAAAAACAAAAGCAGAAATCTTGCTGAACCAATCTGGACAGTTCCTCTGTCATGGTAATGGTTCTGCGATGATCATCTGAGGCCCCTCTTCGTGTGCCTCCTCCACATGAGGCCTGGAGGGTGGCAACACAATAACGGGTCTTCTCTGTGGTGGCTCCCAATTTATGGAAAGCTCTCCCCAGGGAGGTCCGCCTGGCACCTTCGTTATATATTTTTAGGCACCAGGCAAAAATATTCTTCTTCAACCAGGCCTTTGGCTGATTAATATCCTACAGCCTTTAAAATGTATCTGCAGGAAGGGGAGTTATTGTTTTGTTTGGTTTAATTTTTTACTGTGCTTTATCCTGTATTTTATTCTGTGAAGCACCCTGAGATCTTTTGATGAAGGGTGGCATGTAATTTTAATAAATAAATGTAATAAATAAAATAAAAATGGTCTTAGCTGCTCATCTAAGTATGTGTCGTGCACATTTTAAAAGAGTGAGCTCTATTGGTGCACAGACATATAGGCAAGACTTTTCCCACCTCATCAGACTGGATGCCACATCATCCTAAAATGGAGGGGGGGTAGGGTTTTTGGGGGGGATGAGAATGAATTTAGACTGATATTGGAAGCTGGAGACACAGAGGCATATCTGCTCTGTGCTGAACTCAAGCTGTGGCTTCTCTGGAAGGTGCTCTGCAAGCAAAGGGTGACATAACTGGGCTCCTGAGCCCCACAGGGGTGCCACAGAAAAAATGTACAGTGGTACCTCGGGTTACATACGCTTCAGGTTACATACGCTGCAGGTTACAGACTCCGCTAAACCAGAAATATTACCTCGAGTTCAGAACTTTGCTTCAGGATGAGAACAGAAATCGCGCGGCGGCGGCGCAGCAAAGGGAGGCCCCATTAGCTAAAGTGGTGCTTCAGGTTAAGAACAGTTTCAGATTAAGAACGGACCTCCGGAATGAATTAAGTACATAACTACCACTGTAGTTAATCGAGGGAGCCATGGAGTCAAAAAGCTTGAAAAGCTCTGGTTTAAATAGTTCTCTGTTGACTACTGTCATTGTATAGTCTAATTGGGGCTGTACACCTGATTTGACTGAGGCCCAGATCAAAGGTCATCCAGTAAATTTTATCTCTGCAAGCAGATTTGATTCTAGCTCTCATATCCAACACACTCTTCACTTCATTGTTCCAGCACAAGCATGAATTAACGAACAATGTTTCTATTATATGCAGCCCCCTCTGCTTTTCCCTAAGCAGAGCCAAGTTGGCCATTTTCCAAGT